TTAGAGGCATTATGAACTGACAGATGGGGTGGGCTTTGCCAAGGAGTGGCTGGAAAACACACCTGCTTCTACCTTCCCAGACCCACAGCAGTGATCGTGGGCATACACAGGCCCACAAGGGGACATGCACACTTTCACAACATGCACGTGCAAGTGGACACCTCTAATTCGGAGAGATGCATGCAGTTTTAGACCCAGGGTGAATCAAATGGGTTGGGTTTGGACACTGGGAAGTCCCCAGAAAGTGTAAGAGTCGCATACTAACTTTGTTGAGGCCTTCCTAAAGGTAGAGGGGGCAGGACATGTGGCCAGTCAGGCCAAAGGGATGATGGGAACAGAACAGTCTTGTCAAAAGATGCACAGCCTGAACCAGGCCTGGGTTCCATCATGCTGACCCCAGCCTGGACCCCCATGGCTGGTTGGGCCTCTACCTTGGGTGCCACCTCTCTGACCTTAGGGAGCCCTGGGCCTGGTGCACGTGTACCACAGCCCTGTCTGCTCCCAGGCTGGATTAGGCAGAGTCCGAGGACGTGCTGGGCTGGCAGGCTCAGGGGTGGGGCGGGTGCCAGCACTGGAGCTGCCCTATGCCGGCTCAGGCCTGGGCTGCAGCAAGACCTTGTATGGCTGTGGCTGGGTAGCTCCGCGGCGGCACCCATTGGCTGCGCTGGCACTCCCAGCTGGGGCTGCCTGGGCCTCAAACCACGGGTAACCAGAGCCTCCAGGAGCTGGTGGATTAGCATGCCTGCCTGCCCGCCACCAGGGCTGCTCTTTTCCTTCCCTAAAAAGGCAGAGCTGGGCCGGGGAGATGGGCAGCAGCTCAGGCCTGTGGCAGAGGTGGGTGGCCATGCGATTCAGGTGGCTCTGCAGGGATTTAGGAACCCTAGCCCTGGCCTTGGGCCAAGCTCTTCTGGCTCTAGACATCAGTTTTCTCATTTGAAAAGGAGGCAAATGACAACTGGGTCTTCCTAAAATGGATGAGGCCAGGATTAGATTGGGGACTATGGGTGCTGGGCCCTCCCAGCACCAACCCAGGTTCCAGGACCACTCAGTAGTAAAGAAGCCCAGGCTCTTTCCTCTAGGGGAAGCTAATTATTTCCCAACTGTGATGACCTTGGTGCTCACCACAACGACCTTGGGGAAACAGGGTCACCTCTCGGAGCCCAGGTTTCTTACTATGTGAAGGATGATGCGGTGATAAGTCCCCTCTTCTCAGGGTGTACCAAGCTATACCCATGCAGGCCTCTAGCCTGGTAGCATGACCCCATGCAGCCTGACCACAGGCTGAAGCACTCAGGTCCCTCTCCCCGCTGCGACCCTTTCTTCCTCTGCGTCTCTCACTCCTGCCTCGGGCTGGCCTGGCTTTCTGAGGCGGTCCTGCCTGTGTGACCTGTCCCCAGGGTTCTCTAGGGCAGAGCATGGTCTCCAGGTTCTGAGGCCAGTCAGGGTACAGAGCAAGGTCTGCCAGTCCTGCAGATTCAGCCTAACCCTGGGGATGGGAACTCAGGCCAAGCTTGGTCGAGGCCTCGGCAGCTGCAGACCACACCGCTGCACTCCTGAGACTCTGGGTTGCACTCTGGGCCCAGAGTGCCACTGGCTAAGGGGTCATCTTGGGCTCCACCCTTTATCTGTAAAAATGGGAATGTGCGTCCTGTCCTGTTCCACTCTCAGAGGAAAAAGGTTTTGTGGCCTCAGGAGAGCCACTTGGGAGGGCTGGCATCCAGCAACATGTGGAAGACAGGTGTGCATTGGTCAGTAGGGTAGGCGGATGATCTTCCAAAGAATTCATGTGTTCTTTCCGTGCTCTCAAGTCCTGGACCCCAGTGCTGGCATCTGCTGGTCAGTCCTCACACATCTGTGGCCTCAGGCATGAGGACCCTACGTGGCTGCCAGATGGTACTGTTGACAAGCCTGCAGCTGCTGGACAAGAGACCCAGCTGGACCCTGGGTGGTAGCAGCTGGGCAGTCTGGGGCCAGCCAGAGGAGAGTTCTAGTCCCCTTCTTGCCACCGACCAGCTGTGTGCCTTTGGCTGACTTCTTCTCTGCAAATGGATACTCTGCAAATGGTGACTCCCTGGGTGGTTTGAAGAACTGTAAATTGGGTGGGTAAAATGCTGAACACAGAGCACGTTCTACTTCCTCTTCTGGGGCTGATCAGGGCTGCACTTCCCCACTGGCTGGACTGAGACTCAGACTCCCCAGGCCATGCTCCCAGGCACCTGCTTTATTAGTACCTCCTGGTCCTTCCACGCTTCATGACTTTAATGCTGGCTGCTGTCTTTGCCTCCCGTGGCCTCCTCCAGGTCATTATTTCTGTGACTCCCTGCATAAATCCAGGCTCTCTGAGGCTGACACCGTCCCCCCCACTGACATCTGCTCATCTCCTGGTCTAATTCTGAGAAGTCCTGACTTTGTGTGATTACCATTCAGGCTGTTTTCATTCTCCTCCATTAAGCCTGACCATTTGACTAGCTTTGGCCAGCAAAATGTGAATGGAAGGGATATGTTGCACTTGGCCATGGAGTGTCTGGATTTTTTTTTTTTTGGGGTACCAGGGAGTGAACCCAGGGGCACTTCATCCCCAGGCTTTTATTTATTTATTTATTTATTTTGAGGCAGGGTCTCACTAAATTGCTTAGAGCAATTAAGTTGCTGAGGCTGGCTTTGAACTTATGATCCTTCTGCCTCAGCCTCCTAAGCCACTGGGATCACGTGACACCGTATCCAGCTGGATTGCTTGTTTTTTGCAACATAACAGAACCTATTCTGATCGATACGCCCTGGCTCACAGCCCAGATCTCCACCTAATCCTGCCATCAGCAGGATTTATTTATTTATCACCTGTGTACCCGTGTAGCACCCTGTGCGCTCACCTCCTGGCCTCTGGGCCTCCAGTGGCACTCTCTCACAGTATCTCTGCCATCACACCCGTGGTCGACAGTCTTCATCTACTACCGTCTCACTCTGAAATAGTCGGTTAAGGCAACTCTCAGCCTTGCCTTCTCTGTGTCCATCCAGCCCCCCATGGTGTGACCACAGGACTCCCCCTGCCTCAGCCACACCTTCCAGCCCATGGATTCAGTGGGCCATACCTTCACCTCTTCACTTGCCAATATTCTCACCTCCAGCGCTCACTGTCCCTCTGTGCCACTGCTGGACAAAAAACACACTCTGGATGAATCTGACTGGGTCCTTCCCCATGCCCGGGGCATGGACGCTGGAAGAAGCCACACAGGGGGGCAGAGGGTGGCCATGGCCCTCAGAGCCACGTGGGTGCCTGCCTGGTTCCCTGGTGGACTCTCTTCTCTCAGTGCTCACCCAAGCTCCTCAAGTCTCTTCCTGAAACTTTCCCAGATGATGTCACTCTGTTTACAGAGAAAATCCATCCCCAGGTGGCCTGTACCTCCTCCCTCTGGATGCCCTCAGCTTACAACGGTGACTTCATCTCTTGATGGAGTCAGCGAGGGCTCTTGTCATTTCCTTCCCGTCAGCCTGTCCAGTGCTCTGCAGTCCTCCTCCCCTGGACTGCAGCTCCCTCCAGCTCCTGCCCAGCTCTCTCCTTCCTGTGCCCTGGGCCCCAAGGTGTGGGCGGGTGTCCCCCTTCCCTGGTCTCCTGGCTGCTCAACCACCACCTTCTGCTGCCACCACTTATTCAGCATTCAACTATGTCTCCAAAGGGCCCAGGCCAACTTCCCCTGCACCAGCTTGGACTCCTTGTTGCGAAAACAAGAAGACTGCTTAGGTCCTCAGTGCTAAACCTCTGGGGAGCACTTTGCCCCAAGAACCCCTCTGATTGTCCCCATCAGCCTCTGTCTGCTCCTTCTCATGGTTTCCCCTGCCTTTCTGGCCCTTAGACTTTTCTCAGGGACAGGTCTGTGGGTGGCCCAGAGTTCCTCTGGACTGGAGCACACTTCTCTTCCTCTGCGTACGTTGTTTGGCCCTGTGATAGAGTGACTGACAGCTGCCTGTTATAAGGGCAGCCCTCAGAAGGTAGACGGCATCTGTCTTGCTCACTGATGGATGACTGCCCTTGCAGCACTCAGCAGATCAGCGTGGAATACAAAAGGGAGGGACCCACATCTTTCTTACCCTGGTGACCCCAGTATCCTGCAGAAGTCCTGCTCGGAAATCATTTGTCAGAAACCACAGTAAGTCGAAAGCTTACTGTGTTCAAGATTCTGTTAGCCTCCCTCTATGTACCATCTCATTTAATCCTCCCAAGCACCCTTACATGCACAGAGCAATAACCTCCACTTTACAGATAAGGAAATAAGCACAGAGAGGTTAGTTGGCTTGCCCAAGATCACACAGGCAGGAAGTGGCTGTGCCAGGATTGGATTTCAAGTTTCCTTCTATAGTCAGTTGAATGGCAATCCCTCCGCCCTCTCCTCAAACTGTGATATCCTACTCCCCAGAATGTGTGAGTGTGCACTTGTTTGGAACAAGGGTATCTGCAGAATAATTGAGCATCTTGAGATGCGATCACCCTTTATTCAGTGACTAGAGTGCCTAGAGGAGAGAGAAGAGACCCAGAGATGTGAAGACGAGATAGTCACTGGAGTGGTGACCACAAAACCAGGAAGACCCGGAACAGTGGCAGTCACCAGAAGCCAGGAGAGTGACAGGGAACAGAGTCTCCTCAGAGCTGTAGAAGGAGCCAACCCTGCAGAAACCTTGATTTCAAATCGCTGGCTTCCAGGACTGAGGGAGAGAACACGTTTCTGTTTTTCAAAGCAGCTGGTTGATGGTAATTTGTCATGGCAGGCCTAGGAGATGGACACAGGCCCTGGTCACAGAGTAATACATCTGGTGCTTTGTTGCCAGGCCTGGAAGCGAGGGCCCTAAGACAGTATGGGCTGGGTGACTGTGGCCTAGTCACCCCGCTCTGGATCAGATTGGTCCATAGAAAATGGGCACTCGGTACACTGATTGTCCCCTCAATTCTGACATTCTGCCACTCTTGAAAAGACCACAAGCCAGGCAAACAGGGCTATGTTGGGATCTTCAAATTTATTCCAACGTGCTATTCTTTTTCTTTTTTTAAAAAATATCCTCCGGCTGAACACTCAGCTGGAGCTGTAATAAAGGCAATTATTATACTTGTAAAAACTTCTCATTCACAGTACAGATGTAATTTACAACAAAGGTCACACACATCAATACTGAGCATTTTTTTCCTTTTGTACGTCAGACTCTGTGCTTTAGACCTGCATGGATTTTTTGTTGAGTTTTTTTTTTTTCTTTTGCACTGATATATACCATACTGACATTGCAAGATGCAAATGTAGAAACCGGAGTTTAAATAAAATTACAGGCAAAACTACCCCATCCCAGTGCAGTGGCTGTACATATCTACAGTACAATTTTTTTTGGAATGTATTGCCATTTAAGAACATAGAAACTTTCTACAGACAATTTCACGTACAGAATACATACACCTTTTAGAAAAAAAAGGCAAATATTTATCTTACAGAGAGTATCTTACATCTGCCTACACGTTTTCTTTTTTCTGTTTCTTTTCATTTCTTTTAACACTAGATTTAGTTAAAGTGATCATAAGTGCCGATGCGTTTTTTTTTTCCTAATGGGAAGCAGACTGGAATCACGACACGGAAGCAGAGTTTGCACAGGTCTTTGGGAACTTTCTCCCCCGGGGCAGACTGGTCTCCGAGGATGACTGCTCGGCCAGGACTTTAGTTTTGAGAAAGACTTGTCTGGAGCAAGGTCTAGAGAGGAATTCAGCTCAGCTACATTGCTTATCCTTATTCCAAAGGATTGGGTGGGAAGGGAACAGGGCCTAGAGGAATCTGGAAGCGAATTCTTTCAGACTTTTTCTGACAGAGGGACTTAAGTCTGGGGGAGTGAGCAGTTTGCTACTGTCCGGCCCCTGGAGGGTCTCAGTGGCTGGGACCCCAGTGTAAGCTATGGACAAGGATAGGAGAGAGCAGGCCTGTCCTTGGAGAAGAAAGGGGTTAGTACCCAGAATGATTGATATTGCCAAGGTGTGAAGGGCATCCTGGAGGGCAGGCCTAGGTGGGGGGAAGTGGATTGGGATCCCCAGCAGAAGATAAGGTTTGTCTGGAAACCACAGCAAGTTGGTTCTTCCCCCACGGCCAACATCCAAGGACGAGAGCTAGTCTGTCCCGAGAAATGGCATTTCAACAGAGCTAGCTTGGGTGTGTGCACCACGTCAGCGCTGCTGGCCCTACTGATCCCCCGGGGCAGGGGCAGCAGATCATAGGCAGGCTGGAAACTGCGTGGCTGGCAGAGGGCAGAGGCCCAGAATGGGGCGTGGCTGGAGAGAGGTTTCCCCCAAAGCGGGAGGTTGTGCATATGGGTTGGGGGCCCAGTGCCCAGGAGAGTGGGCGCAGGGTCTGGCAGAGAGGGTTAGCACTGTGCTTTGTGGTGGTATCAATTCGGTTCTTCTGGGCCCCTGTGGGGCAGCAGCACTGAGGCCAGATTCTATGAAGGTATTCTGTCCCTGTCCCTTAGGTTTCCAGTGACCCCTGGCCCATTACTTCTTCAGGAAACTGCAGGGACTCTCCCCTGATGGCCACACTGTCCATTACTAGGCTGCCCAGGAAGGGGACCTTGGTGGATGGATTGTTTGAGTACAGGGGGAACAGTGCCTGGGAGAGCTTGGGGTGTATAGTAGGGTGGAGGGGGGTGGCTATCCCCAAGGTCAGGAGCCAAGCCAGCAGTCAGGGACAGAAATGTATCCAGCTTCTGAGGCTCAGCTCTTGAAGCCTAGGGGTTCAGGATGAATGGCCTGAGTGAGGGGAGCCCAGGACAGAGGCCAGGGTCTGGGACCAGAGCCCAGGCTCTTACTCACTTGCTACAGATCCAAAGAGTGCCAATGTGGCCCAGGTAGGCTTGCTGGTTTCTCCTAAAGTGAGCAGGAGCCCTAGCCTGAGTCAAGCAGCCAGGCGCTAGCCCAACTCCCCAGCGCTCGAGAGTACAGGAGGCCCCCAGGGAGGCCCTGCTCTTTTTGTCTTAGCTTGGAGCAAGGCAGAGGAGAATGAGCGGCTGCTCTGGTGGAGGCTGGGCCTGTGGCTGGTTTGTCCACCCAGCAGGGGCCTGTAGGGAAAGGCCTGAGCTGGAGAGAGGGGAAGGATGGCCAAGCACGAGGTTGAGGCCTATCTACAGCCTGGCGGAGGTCTGGGAACTGGCCAGAGAGGTCCCTGTTCTGTGCAAGGTGGCACCAGCACCTAGCCTGGGTGGGACATACCACGGCCCCTCTTTGTAAAATATTAGTTGTTTCTGGAAAGATAGGGGAAACTCGTCCTCTCCCAGGTGGAAATGGGAACCTTAAGCAGCAGTGCACAGGAGCACTCACTTTTACAATTAATTATATGGGCTAAACATGCTGGAGGTCAAGTTCCATATTTTAACTTGGGATTTAAATTTCTGGTCAAATTATTTTTCTTGAAAAGCAGGGTTTTTTGTTTGTTTTTGTTTTTGTCCCAGGAAATAAGAGAAAAATTCAAAGGATGTGGTACAATTCACAACTCTTCTAGGTTGAGAGAAGAGAAGAGGAGGAGGTGGGGGGGATATGCCAAACACCATCTTCTTTTTCTATGTTTATAGGGTTTTTTTTTTGGGGGGGGTGTCTTAAAAGAGATTTAAGCCAAAACATAGGCCAAGGCAGTTCCTACCAGTCACCGTTTGGGGTATTTCCTTAGGTAGTGGAGGCCTGGCCATGTGTGGAGGGGACAGAGAAACCAGTCCTGTTCCAAGGGACCCGGAGCCCTGTAAGTTCACAGCGCCGAGCACTGGAAAAGCCCAGCTATGAAGGTCGTAAGGCCCCTGTGCTGCAGGGACTGAGGTGAAGCAGAATCCAAATCCCAAGCTGAGGATAGTCTCTAGGCTTGGCTTCAGCCCTTCAGCTTTGCGGGTTTTAGGGTTCCCAGTCAGGAGGGCCAGGGCCAGGAGAGCAAGGCAGGGGTTAGGTGTGCCAGAACCAAGAAAGCGACAGTCGGGACTCCTTTCCTAGCCCAGAGGCTGGGGGCAGGATGGGGGTATTGAAGGGAGGGGCTGTCACATGGCTTGCTTACCTGGGAAATGCAGGATAAGCCCACAACTCAGATGAGCCGGGTATCTGGGATCCCTGGTGAAACCAACCGGTTTTTACCTTCTACCTGCTATTTTGGGTTGAAATCCTAGCAAAAGCAACTGCACCCCCGCTTTTTTCTTATAGAGAATAAAAGGAAAAAGAAGATGATCTCTTGGGGTTCTGCCTGCATTTGTGTTCCTCTGCCTGGGGCTGCTGGCCCTTTTCTGGCAGAAAAGAGTGGCCGCTGGCCGGGGCAGGGAAGGGGGAACTAAAGCAGTGATGAACAGGAACCCTAAACTTCTGTAACGGACTGCTTGCGTCTCCACTTAATTGTGTTCTGTGCCCTCAGTGCATCCCCTTTCCCTAGGCCAGCGGCTGCCTCTCGCTGTCCTTGGAGGCAGTGGCTGTGACTTCAGGGGTGCTGTAGAGCACCCCTCCTGCAGCCTTTCCTAAAAAGCACAAACTATCCACAGCCTCAAGCTCCTTGTGGGTTTGTCTTGTTTTTATGTATGTGTGTGTGTGATTTGTTTCTTTTCAAGCAACAAAAGGTATAGAAAAAGGCACAGGTAACTGCAATATGTGGGAAGATATAACAGATGGGAGCTGAGCAGAAACTGTGTGGACAGATGGACAGATGGGACAGGGGGCCCATGGGAGCAAGATGACTCCAGGACGTTGGCTGCAAACGTCTGTTGCGGAACACCGGAAGCCAGATGCTGACGCGGTCGGACGGAGAGAGGCTAAGTGCTTGGGGGGGCCCTGTCCTTGGGCTGGGGTGGCGATGCCCTGGGCTCCCCACTACCTGAGGGCTTGGGGGAGCCCTGGCTGGTCCTGGGTTCCCCAGAGAGGTTCCTCCTCCGAGCTGGGAAGTGAGCAGAGACCTCGGCCAGGCAGCCCACGGAGCTGCTGCGGTCCAGTGGTGGGGCGGCAGAGGCCTCAGGGGTGGCCAGCGTGCATGGTGACTCCAAGTGGAGGCTCCAGGACTGCGCCACCTGTTGGCCCTGGGGTGGCCGTGGGGTACAGGGGCTGTGTGTGGCCACAGGCTCCACAGGCACCTTGGCCCCATAGGGTTCCCAGTCAGGAGGTCTGCCTGGGCCTCTGCCTGTCCTCTCCCCCTCCTTGGGGTAGTCTCTGTCCTCCAGCTCCGAGGAGAGTGTGAACTTGGAGACCTTAGCCACGGGGGACACAGAGGCTGATGAGGTTCCAGTGGGACTCCAGCGGCCTCGCTCCTGGGCCTCTCGGGCCCCTGTCAGGTCACTGCCACCCCCTGAGAAGCCACTGACCCAGGCTGTGGAAGGCCCTGGCAGCAGGGTGGGGTGGGCCCCAGGCCGGGCTTGGACCATCTGGATCCCACCGATGGGAATCAAGGGGCACGGGGCACGGGGCAGGTGCTGGGAGTGCAGAGGCAGGTGGCTGAAGATGTTCTCCTCTGTCCGGGCGGGGATGTGGCCGTGGAAGTCATGGGGGACGGAGAAGGGTCGGGAGGAAAGAGGATGAGCAGGGCCGGGCGGGCAGGTTGGACTTCGGGACTCGGCCTTCTGCAGGGGTCAGAAAAACAAGACAGGGGAAGGCAAGGGTTACATGCCGGGCACATGGAGGACAGCGGCCTAGAGGCACAGAGCGCAGTGGGCCTCAGACCACCGTGAAACCAGCTGAGCTGGGGCCAGAACCAGGCTGCTGGCTGTACTCACGATGCTGCCCAGTGGGCTGTCTCCAGCTCTAGTGACCACGAGCCCACTCTGCCCCATCGTCTTCATACCCCCCGCCAGCACATTTGGAGGAAGGGTTCTCCGATGAAGGGGACCCTGTTGTCACTCTGGCCTGGCCCTCTACCTTGGTTCTGCTGCCCTCCTATTCCTAAAATGGTCTTCATTCATGCAACTTCACCTTGGCACTTGGGTTCCCACCCAAGGCTCTTGACCTTCCACCATGAGGAATTGTAACGTGACCTCCAAATTCAAAATCAAGGTAAGATTTCTCCAGGAGTGACAATATCAGGTCATGACAACACTGTGACAGAAAAGGTGTTGGAAGGTGAAGTTGACAGAGATGGCACTGTCAGTGGTGGGGTCCTGTGGTGACAGGGATGCTGGTGGTACAGAGATGGCACGACAATAGGGTAGGGACTGTGTGGATGATGGGACAACATCCATCAGGGTGACAGGTGGCATCAGTGGGGTGCTGAGGTGCCGGGACGACGGACGGTGTTGGCCAATGGCAGCTGTGCTCATGGTCTGACAGGAGCAATACTGGCTATGGGGAGCTGTGACAATGACATTGGAGATGGAGATGATTGGGGTTAAACTCTGCCATCTGCCCAACAAGCAGGCTGGGTTGGGTCCGGTGGGGAATTACAGAAGTATTTCCACCCACATCCAAGGCCACGGCTCTCACTAGGGGTAGGACTCTGACCCATGAACTCAGGAACCCACACTTGCTGCTGCTGAAGTTGCAACAAAGTGTCATAACCCAGATGGCCGAAGGTGCCCAGCCTGGTGCCTGGTATAGTAGCGCCCAAGGAATGTTTGCTAAATTATCAGCAACTACTCAGCGGGCAGAGTCGTTTAGCTCCAGGTGTGATTCTCAGAAAGTGTGAACTTGTAACCCTCCCACCCCCAGGAGTGACAACGGCAGGAACTCACCCACATGGAGGTGCGGGTCTCCGGGCTTCTGCCAAGAAGTTTGTGAGGTAGAGGTGTGGGCGGGAAGAGAACCCGCGGAGCTGGCCCCAAGCCTGGACCATGCTCATCCGCTGCGGGGCTGCCTGGCCCAGCCAGGGCCCGCTTCCATGGCAGCGCTGACCGTGGTGGTGACTCAGCCCGACCCAGAGACCATCTCCCGGTGGGTGAGCGTGTGGAGAGGCCTCGATCTGTGGTTCCCTCAAGTTCTGGGGATAGATGTGTTCGAGGGGCCAGTTCTCTTCCCAGGGGGTGGGGAGTGAGAGAAGACAGCGCAAGTCTTGGAGACCCACAAGGAGGAGGGGCCGTGTCTCTTCCTGGACCCGTCTGGGGGCCAAGCATGCTTGCAACTGAGGCCTGTGGTTCTGGGGCTGGTGAACACTGCTGGGGAGATGAGTCGTTTTTGGTGAGTGAGTGTTTGCGGGCGAGTGGTGGACGGCTGCCTGCTTCTTTGCTTGGGGACCATGGCCTTCTGGGGGACATGGCCTTAGAGCTCAGGGCTGAGCTTGTGTCCTTCTCCACAGGGCCCGACAGGGCCGGTCCCAGCTGGGGAAGACCCAGGATGCTCTGGCTGGACGTGGAGCAATGGCTGGCTGTCAAGTGCTCGGCATCAGAGACTGAGCCGCCTCGTGTGGCCTCATTGTCAGGGGTGGCATCTGGGGGCTGAGGACCCTGGACAGGTGAGGAGTCTGCCCGCGGCATGGCTGTCAGACCCGGTGGAGGCGCCTCCGAGGATGGCCGGGACAGCTCGTCCTGGCTGTCCTCCTCGTCCTCATCCTCGTCGTCGTCCAGGTCTGAGTCCGAGTCCGAGTCCTCCAGGTCTGAAAACTGATGTTCCTCCACAGCCTCGGAGCCCTCTCGCCCTTCCGAGTCCTGGAACAGGTCATCACTGGTTCCTGAGGGGAGAATGCAGGATACCTGAGGTCAGCCCTGGCTGTTCCTTCTAAAGCCCAGTTTCTTGATCTGCCACCCAGGCAGTATTGCTATGGTAATGGCACAAGATCTCTGGGTGGACCAAGTAACACCACAGATATGCGAATGCTTTGTAAATCATCATGAACAGCATTGACTTCATCTCTACCACATGCAAGTTCAGATCTAAGAGCTTTAAGTGTATTAATCCATGTAGTCCTCAAAGAATGCTGGGACTATTCTAATCTTCAGGTTATAGATGCGGAAACTGAGGTAAAAGAGATTCAGCAAGTTACCCAATAAGGTCACAGTAGGTCTGGGGCTGAACCGCAGCAGGTGAGACAGTCTCCTTTTCCATTAATAATCAGGTTTCACCCTGAGCAAGTTATGTTGCCTTGCTATTCCTCAGTCTCCCCTTTTGTCAAACAAATATGACAGTCTCACCTCCCAGGGTTAGCTAAGAAGAGAAAATACAGGCCTGGCACCTAGCCAGGGTTCCAAAATTATAGTCACTGTGGATTCGTTAAAGATGAAATTTATTATTCCAAGCTGGCCTGCATGATTAGTCTAAACACATATCTGACACCATGATCGGGTGCTGCTGGCTGGCACAATTGGTAGGTAGTAGAATAAATACGGTCCCTGTGAGAAGCTTGGCTAAGCTAGCCTCAAGTCACAGAGCAGGGCCCACACTGGCCATGCCCTTGTCCTGAGGAGCCACTACCCTTTAGAAGGCCTATGATGTTCCTAGCCTGGGGAGAGCAGCTCTGAAATGCCAGCTTCCTGGTTTGGCTTCTCGAGGAGCAACTTGGACCAGGTGGGTCACCATTAGGTCTCGTCTGAGCCATATCTGAAATGGGCAGCATTCTAGATGCTGGGGAGAGCTTTGCTGATGTCTGGCCCACCTGAAAGGCCCTGAGGTTTGGGTCCTGCTGGTCCGTTGCTAGATAATGATGACCTCATGTTTCTGGCCAGAGTATGGGCTGGTGAACCATCGGCTGGCCCATCACTTACATTTACCACTACTACACCCACTACTGACTGGGACCACCAGACATAGCAGCTGACCCAGGCCCCTGGTGCACCCAGGCTTTGGATCTCCTCCAGGCCCAGCTTCCCCAGGGCTAGGACGCCCAGTACCGCCTGCTTCCAAAAAATCAACATGCAGAAGTAAAATGGACAAAAGAGGACGTTCGGTGGGCTGCAGGTCCAAAACGATGGGGTAGAGCTGGGGAGGGCCACAAGAGGAAGGGCAAGGTCTCCTGGCAGCAGGGAGCAAAAAGATGAGGAATCGGGAGGAAATGGGGATGGGGTGGGGGTTGGGAGGGAAAGGGGGATAGAGATGGGAGGGCAAAGTTTTGAAATTTGGCTCCAGGCCAAACTTGAGTCCCCTTGCCAAGGACTTTGGCTGTAGACTACTGCAGCCCCAGAAGTTCACCTACCCCTGCCCCTCACTCAGGTATGGTGAAACAGAGGCACAGAGAGGGTAGGGGTACACCCAAGATCATCCATCAAGCTCCTGGCTGAGTTAGAACTAAGGTTCACAGCCCTTGCATTATTACACTGACAGCTTAAAAATGGTTTTATGCTTTGAAAAGCGTCCATGGCCTTGGTTTGGATCCTAACTTCACCATTCCCTTGCTGTGTGACTCTGGCTAACTTCCTTTTATCTTTTTGTTCAGTTTTCTCACCTGTAAAATGGGGAGGGGGTATTAGTAATAATAGCCCCTCATGAAAGTGTTGTGAGAGTTCTGAGGTCCAGCACACAGTTAGCACCCAATAATCCTTAGCTACGGCCAGCTAAGAGGCAGGTAGCTGAGCAGCATTATGAGCACTGGGCAGATCAGTCAGTGGGTGGTGCAGCTGGTGAGGGAGTCAGGGCCAGCATCTCCTGATGTTCACCAGGGAGGCCCCTAAAGACCTTCTTCACTGATGGGGAAGTTGAGGCCCAAAGACTGAGGTGGCCTGTGTTGGTCATTCAGCACATGAATAATGGTAGCCAAGGATGCCCGGCCTGGTGCACGCTTGGCCATGCCTTCCACATCCAGGTTCCTGTAGGACTCTAGGGGATATGCCCCTGTCTGGTTCGCCCCTTCCTGATGCCTCTCATAGGGATGTCCGGCCCCTGGGATCAAGGGCAAAGCTCAACAAGTCCTGCCCACTAGGAGCTCAGGGCCCTAGGACCACCAAAGGAGCGCACCTCTGCACTGCTAAGTGCCATAGCTGGAATGCGCCACACGGTGGCGCTGGTACCCGACCTCATCTCCTCCGGGGCGGGGCTACAATGCCGGCCACCAGAGGGCTTGGGCTTCAGGCTACCTTCCCACGTTGTCGTTGTCGCTTCATGTCCAGCACATACCAACTCCTGATGCCCTGAATCTGCCTAGTCGGGAGGTGGCAACTCCATCTTTAAGCTAGACACCTTGGAGTCATCTTTGGGTTCCTTTTTCCTTAACCTCTTCTTCTCCCCTCTCTGATGTGACAGCAAGATCTGTGAGCTCTACCTCTGAATCCACCACTTCTCACCTGCACTGTGTGGCGGTCTGAGCCTAAGGTGTGCTTGGCCTGGACCACTGCCTCCCCTGTGCCCCTTGCTGGCTATGCCCTGCACCCAGCCAGAGCCCAGGCTGTCAGGGAAGTTCCTGGTGTTACCCTTCTCACACTGGATGACAGCCAAGCTCACCCCTTGACCTTCCTGGCCTGAGGTCTCTGACCCATTGTCCTGGTGTCAGTGGGCTCTAGCCACAGGGGTCAAGTGCTGTGGTCTTAGGGACTTAGCACCTGCTGCTTCCTCTGCCAGAGAGCTCTCCCCAGACCCCACAAAGCTATGTTCCAGGCTCTCAGTTGGTCTTTGGCCTTTTATTTTTTGTTCTGCCTCTCTCCCCTGCTCTATTACATATTATTCAATGTCTGCCTTTCCCTCTAGAACACAGGCTTCCTGACACTGTACAGTGGAGCTCAGAGCAGAGCTGTCCTCACAGTTGCTTCTGGAAGGAATGTGTAGACTTCATTCTCACAACGGTGGGTGTGGTCATCCTTGTCCACCCCACTGGGAAAGTGAGGCTGGGAGGGAGGCAGGGACCACAGAGAGGCTCTGGGTTGGGTTCAGGCTCCCCCAGCAATGGGGAAGTAGTGTGGAGCCAGTGCATCTCTGTGACCTTGGGTGACTGCCTTTACCTGTCTGAACTTTACTTTCTTGAAATGCGGAAACACAAGTTCCTACCACCTGTTATGAGGACCTAATGGAACAATCTCTGTAAATGGCCTGATGTCCACTCTTGACAAGCATGGGAGCCCCACAATTTGGTATTGGGAAGTACAGCCCCAATTTCATTGTGTTCTGTTCTATAAGAGAAAGGGAAACGTGATTTAACTCTTTTGTGAGACTGCAAGTACATCTACAAATCTGAAAAATGAAAACTGAACAAAATACACACACACACACACACACAGGTTCTCCTATGTTACATTCTAAGTAATTGATCCTGATTTCAAGAAATCTGTGGTCAAAGGTTTTTATGCTGGAGGGACTACCTGTCCATCTGCTAAAGCTCCTCTGGCTTCCTACCTGGGTGCTGAGACCGGACAGTGCTCACCAGACCCACAGCCTCGATCAGCTCCTCCCTCTCCCCTGTGTGCTGGAAGATGACTGGCTCTAACATGACTCTTGGTGCTGGAGGACTTGGCTGGGTTGTGGTCATGGGATGGGGATTGGTAGGTGACAGGGGCTGTTGCATCTGGCTTTGGCTCTCTTAAAACCCTCAGGCCCATGTCAGAGTGTGCTTATGGAGCTTCTAGAGTAAGGACCCACAGAGTCATTGTGAAGTCTGCCGGGTATTTCAGGCATGTGTTTAGAACGTGCCTGGCACATAGCTGGTGCTCGTTGCCAAAGGCGATTACACATGTGCTCATACTCAGTGCACATCCACAGAGCTCTGAGGGGCGGCAGTGCTCAACACCACTGCAGATGGGAGTGGGGGTGATCCCCTGTGAATTCCACCTCTGTGCCCCAACAGTTGAAGCAATCAGAAGGGAAAGGCATGGGAGGGAGGGGGAAAAGCAGGGGGAGAGGCAGCAGGGAGAGGAAGGCAGATGGAAGGGACAGGGAGAGCGGCAGGTGGAGGGTGGGCGTGCCCATTCCTTACCCTCTTCGGCTTCCAGCTCCTCTAGCACCCCTGTCTCTTGGCACTTTTTGCTGTGGGCTTTCGACTTCATGTGCTTAGTCAGATTCCCTGGAAAGGAATGAGGACAGACTCAGGTTCAGCTGCAGGACAGGGCTGGGGAGGGCCAGAGGCAGCTGTGGCTTCTCACACCAGCAGAAGCCTTGCCAGCTGCAGGGGTTGGGCAGAGGCCAGGCACCCCTCGGCCCCAATGTTCAGGCCAAGGTGTGCAGCCAGAGCTGATGGTCGTGGTGGAACACAAGAGCCGGGATGGGGAGGGCATGGGGCTGTGAAGGGACAGACAGAGGGTCCAATGAGAAAGGGAGATGCTGGTTAAAAAACAAAACCAAAAAAAAAAAAAAAATAAAAGAAAGAAATTATTAAAAAATCACTCAAGTGCAATTGTTTTTTTCCTGATTCTGATTTCAGTCTGGGCCCAGGAGCTGGCAGCTTGCCTCAGACAGGATGACTGGCCACCTTAAGTGGTGCAATAACATAGGGACTCCCAATGACCAACATGGAGGGTGGGGATTGAACATGCCCTTCTGGCCAAGGTCTCTTCCAGGCAGCCCATAGGGCAGAACCTTAGGGTCTGTGAAGAGGATCCAGGGCAAAGTTACTCTTAGGGTTGGAGAGAGGACAGAAAGTAAGAGTAGGGACATCTACTGGCCACGAACCTGGGAGCCAAAGCCTGGGGCCCAAGCCTGGCTTCCCTAGTAGAGTGTATTTCCTGGGCCTGTTTCCCCAGGCCAATGTGCAGTGTAGACACAGGATGCAGGTGGTTCAGGGAAGGCCTGGGCAAGGCTCTTTCCTGTCCCATGCCTACAAAACTCTTGGGGAGGCCAACTCTGCCCAAAGTTGTAACACCAGCCCTGCAGGCTATGGAGCAGGGGCCGCAGCTCTGTGAGATCAGGAAATGGGAACAGCAACTTCATTCCCTACTCCCCTGCCATGTGCACAGCATTTCACAAACCACAGAGTTCTGTGGACAGCCATGTCCTGGGAGGAGAGGTCAAGTGGCCCTAGCATGCCCCAAGAGAACAGGCCAGATGCCTTGGATGTTCCTTTGGGCCCATCCCAGACTGTGCTCTGAGGACTGCTGTATTTCCAAATGCTCTACCACATAATAAATCATAAGTTCCCCAAGTCAGGTGCTTTGTCTCATGAATTGTATTAATGTGTAAGTTTGAATGAATGGATGAGGAGAGGAGAATGGAAAGAGTTAGACATGCTGGAATGGAGGTAAAGAGAGATTGATGGAGGGATGGATGGCTCGGTGGCTAGAGGAACTAAGGAAAGCAGAATAGGAAGAGAGCAGAGGGAAGGGACAGAATGAGCAGACAGGCAGATGAACAGATGGGCAGATGAGTGGATGAGGGAAATGAACCGGCGGATGGATGGAAAGGGGGTCAGCTCTCCACATGGGAAGTGGAGAGCTGGTGGAGGGAGAGCAGCCGGCTGGCTGCACACACATGCGGAAGTGGGAGGTCAGACTGCAGGAGAGGAAGGGAAGCTGCATGAAGGGAGAGATGGACGGGAAGAGTGCAAGAAACAGACAGGGAAAGTGGATGGTGGAGAAATGAGCCGGAGAGGGGACGGATGGGTGGGTAAACAGGGGGACTGCCCATGGATGATCAAAGGGTGCTTCTGAATCAGCCTGAGAACTTTGGGGTTTTGCTGAAGAGTTGGGGGAGGAGAGCTAAAGCTGGGATTCCCTGAGGTGTGGGGAGCCAAGGGCAGCAGGACAAGTGGAGAGGTGTCCTCCTTTCCTGCCACTGGACAGAAGCCCGGCTGTTCTACTCCTGACCATAGGGGGAGCAGAACCACATCTTCCCAAGACATCTTGTGACCAAAGGGCTCCCAAAGGTCCCTATCAGTCTCGTGAATGCCACTTTCGCTGTCATGCCTGAAGATTGTCAAGAGGTGGGAAGAGACTCCTGGGGTCTTCCGTGGACCAGAGACACCAACCCCTCAAGCCCTGGAAGCAACCTCCTTGCATTGATGACCCCAGGCCACCGAGGACATGAACACTCCTCCTTCTGGCCATCATGCCATTTCTCACAAACATTTTTCCCTAGATGGTTTAGGTTTCTTACCAGTTACATTAGATACTGAGCACACTGTGGGTGTTCAGTGCCCCCTAGGGAAATGCCATCACAAGTGTTGGGGAGGGACCTCCCAGACCATATAATCCAACCCCCATCAGGCTGAGGCCTGTCCCTGCTGCTCACCTAACTCTGGGCCCAGGTACTGATGACTCCATTAGCTAAGATCACTGGCTGTCCTGGGTGGTGGCATGACTCCCCTTAACCACCATGGTTGACCAAGTGGCCCCAAGACACAGTGCTAGCTAGTTTAGAGCACTGACTGGGCCCAGGTCTCGGAGCGCCGGGGTCCTTGCTGGCTCCATGCAGGGGAAGCAACAGTCTAAGATGATTCTGAGCATGGGGCCTGGGGTGGCCCAGGCTCTGCCGCTGCTGGCTGTGTGACCCTGAGTTCTGAACCTTGCTGAATCTGTTTCTGCAGCTGTAAAGTAATACCTACCTCGTGGGGATGCTGAGAGGATTTGAAGACACAACCCATGCGGCAGGAGAGTGTGGCTGGCCCAGAGCAGACCCACCCCCCTCCATGACAGTCACTCTCTATGGAGCACCCAGGACTCTGCCACACATGGTGCTGGGTCAGGAGGAGAGAGGTGCTCAGGTGATGCTCATGAAGAAATGGCTTCACCTTTCGGTCTGGGCCTCAGGGGTGCTCAGGAGAAGTCCCCACAAAGCTCCCACTCGGCAGGTCTGCCTCTTCTCTGCCACCACCCTCGGAGGCTGCAGGGAGGCTGAGGTAAGTCTGCAGGTCACAGGAGCAGATACTGGACGAGTGGCCCTGAGCCCGTCCCGTTCCCCCCCCCCCCCCCGCCACTCCTCCTTCCCCACCTGTCACTGCCTCTGACCAGGGAGAGGCTTACTGACCCTGCAGAAACAGGCTGGAGGCCAGGTCCCTGTCAAGGGGCAGAGCCACTCCTTCTCACAGCCAACCCAGCCCCCCACAGAAAGTGACAGCTTGGAGTGGAGGAGGAAAGGCCAGTGGGGGGAAGGTGACGGGTATCTGGAGGAACCCTGCCCCCACCCTGCTGGCCCAATGGACGCGAGGCCTGTCCACAGCTGCCATCTCTGTCCTCTGAGGTTGCGATCGGCGCAATGGCCTGCACACAGCACAGCCACCCTGCTGACCTCTGGAAGCCATCTGAAGAGGACAGACTACAGGCCAGTCCCCGGGCCTTTGCTCCTCAGGTAGCTCCCAGAGGCCTGAGCTGCCACTTCCACGTCTGACACAGAGACGAGACACAGACAGGCAGACAGAGACAGACAGGAAGGGCTCCCAGACGCGGCACAGCCAGGCAGAGGTGACAGGGGTCCCGAGGACTGCCAGGCCAAGCCTTAATGCTCATGTAGGCTGCCTAGGCCACAGTTTAAGGGAGAGAGAGGAAAGTGGTGGAGGTCACCTGAGAGGTATGCAGACAGCCCAGGAGAGGGAGGGGCTGCGTTATCAGAGCTTGGCCCCAGGGAGGGCCAAGAGCTCCAGTGTCCTCCCCGCTTCATGCCCACCGGCTCTCTGCTTCCATCTGCCACTGCCTCAAGAGGCCTCCTCTGCTAGGCACAGAGTTTGGATTCTACCTTTTCAGATGTCTTCTGGCGTTGGCCGGGAAGCTCCCCGGCTGAGAGCAAAGCTTCCCAGGCCTGGCCCTGCTTCAGAGGACACTCCACACCCCTGGAAATGTGGGGCACCACCCCACCTGCTCAGATTCTGCACTCTGTGGTGGCTCAGAGAGACCCAGGAAGGGAGGTCAGGCCAGGGGTGGCCTCCATTGAAGGCGCCTCCTAGAAAGTGGGGGTTCCCATGAAGACCCCAGACCTTACTCAGACTTGGCAAAACAGGCAAGGCAGAGGAATTCAGCGGGGTCCCTTAGGGGACTGCCTGTGTTGGGAGTCAACAGAAATGGGCTTTTCCTGTCTCACATGGCAGAGACTCCCAGGGGGCTGTGTGCTGGGCACAGGTGTACTGTGTGGCCTGTGGCCAGGAGGCTCTCCCAGGCTCCTCATGCCGACGATGGAGCCCTGTGATCCCCTGGATGCGCTGGGAATAGAAGCAGCACTTGCCACCCACTCCAGAGGTCATCTGACTGCAGACCTGGCCCCTCCCCCCAGAGACAGGAGGACCTGCTCATCCAGAGAAAGGGGAGGGCTGGTGCCCTTGAGGCAGGGGCTCTCGTGCATGGTCACTTCTGGTTCCGGGACTCACTTTCTACAGCTTCTCAGGGGCTTGGACAAGAAGCCTTCCACTTTTAGAGCTGTATTACTTAAGACTGTGTTACTTAAACTGTCAGCCAAATTTCCCCATCTTTCTCTTCCATAAAATTCCAACTGGCTTCTTAAGGCCACAGGAAATTGGATTGTAGGGGACATGTGGGGACAGAGCCTGAGTCCAGGCTGAGTTGAGCTGAGCTGCCCTGGGTGTGGCAGGGCTCTAGGGATAGATGCCTTTGATGTGCTCATCAGCAGGGTAGGAGGCTCCAGGCCTAGCTGCACTCTCTGGGCACCTTTTGGGACATTGTTTCTGAGCCACTAAGAGAGAAGAGGACACAGAAAAGGAAGTGGGGGGGGGGCTGTGTAACTCCATCCAACCCAAAACCTTGGTGGGAAAATTTGAGTTCAACTCAAAGATGACGTTGAGAGGACAGACGAGGGTCGGGCTCAGCTAATGGGGTTGGGAGACCAGAAATAGGAACATGGCCAGAGAGGAGGCCACTGAGCCAGGACATGTGATAAACTGGCCTCTGATCTAGTACAGAAAGAACAGAAGGGGCCGGGCAACAAGAGGATGGAGGAAGGAGGGAGGCTGGAGCCTCTACTGGGTTCTTTCCACAGAGGCTGCCCAGTGGCCACCACTGGGAACAGCTTTATCAACAGAAGAAAGGACAAGTGGCAAAGCCCAAGTCTGTGCTGAGTTTTGCTCCCTGGCAAACAATGTGGGTCCATCATGAAGGCCCCCAACATGCTCAAAGGAGAAGATAGCACCCTTGTGTCCAAACCATGACGCGGGCATTTGCAAAGCATAAGAAGCTGAACCACCAGGGTGCTGAGGGCCTGTGCCCCCCTCCGAGGCACTCCATTCTGCTCAGCTCCCCAAAACAGTGAGCAAGAGGCAGGACCCTCCCTGCAGGTCTCGCAGGGAAAGAACTAAGTCCATCCAAGAATCTCATGGACCTGGTTCATCCAACCCCCGGCGGCCAGGCCACTGCTGTGACCCATCGCAGCTCTCTGGGATGCATGCTCTCAACAGCCGGTCCTTCCTTTCACAGGTGACTGCCAGAGCCTGTCCTGACCCTGATGTGGGTGTGGCCGGGGCAGGAGTGACGCTGCAGGTCTAGGGGTGGGGCTACTGGGCCCTTTGCTAAAGGCTACTGAGAAGCCTGGCAGAGCAGGGGCATGGCGGGGTGGTGAGGAGGGGTGGGGCAGGAGTGAACTCTGCACAAGACGTGTGAGCATGCGAGTGTGCCGAGTGGCCCAGGGTGGGATGGATTTCCAAATGCAAGAGTGGCAGTGACGGGTGTGGATGCTGGACGTTATCAGATCAGTGGATTAACGGCTACGGAGACATGCAGAAGGAAGAGTGATGAGATAAGTAGGAAACCAAGAGCTGGGCAGAGTGCCCCCAGGGAGGTGAGAGGGTGAGTCCCCAGGGAGGTGAGAGGGTGTGCCGGTGGGAGGAGGGGCTGTGTGTGGGATCCAGGAGCACCTGCGGGGGCAGCCGTGGGTGCCACTGCCCAGTCTGGAGCTGGCTGTTCTGCCATGGGCACCAAGTGGGGTGGGAACTCAGGAAATGAATGTCAGGCCCCAGGCAAACAGGTCTGTGCTGGGGCTCCCAGAGGGGAGCTCCCTGCAGGGGGCAGAGCCAGTGCCCCAGCTGACTGTCTCTTACCTTTGGTTTTAAAAGCAAAGTGACAGTGCTTGCACACATAGGGTCGGACGTCAGTGTGGGTGCGGATGTGTTTCTTCAGCATGCTGGGCTTCTTGCAGCGAATTCCACACTCCTCACAAACATATTTCCCTCGGCCGCGGCCTCGCACATATACATACTCTTCGTTTGATTTGTACCTATGAGCAACAGGTGTCATGTAAAGGAAAAAAAAAAAAGGGAGGAGAAGAGGCAGGTTCCCACCTCAGAAGATGCACGGTTTCCTAGCTTTGCCCAGCCCGGTCACGACGCCTGGAGTGGAGAATGTGGAGCACCGTGGGCTGGGAGGGAGCAAGGCGCCCTGGGGATCCACAGTGGACCCCTGCACCCGGCCACCTCTGAAAGGTACGCCCGCCACACCTGCCTTTCTCCCTAGAGTAGCAGGCAGGTACTTCCTGCCAGGGGACATGAAGCGCATTTCTGACAGCCTCCTTTCCACAACCAGCCCTGACCCCTGGGCCACAGAGAGTGAGCACCATACAGAACGGCCACCGTAGGCCACCAGAGTCACAGAGTAAAATCCCACAAAATAACAGCAGCAGCTGTAGAAGCTATAATTCACCCAGCTCGCCTTGTGCTGGGCACTTGACCTGAATTAAATCACAATGACCTCACAACAAAGAGGACCCTGACCTGACCCCAGGTTCAGAGAGGGCGAGACATTCACCCAGGATCCTACAGCCAGAAAGGGACAGAACCAGGATCCGAACCTGCCTACCCTGAGCCCGTCCATTTCCCAGGAGGGGTGAAAACAAGCCGTCAGGAAGCCACCCCGATGCTCCAGGGAGGCAAATGCCAGGACCACCATTATTTTCCTGGTTTCAGAGCCTGGCGGCCAGGAGCCCCGTGCTCTCTCCCTCACCCCGGCTCCGTCAAGCTCTGTAGGACACAGATTCCCAGTCGCATCAGGAAGCCCCAGCCGCTCTCAGGGGCCTCGGGACTGGCCAACCCATTTGCTGGGGCTCAGGGCCACTGACACCCCAGACCCTGAACTGGACACTGTCATTTCCACCAGCAGGAAGAAGCCCACAAAGCCCACAGGCGCAACCGACGATGAGCGGACTGCCATGTTCTGGCACTACAAATGAGCACGTCTCCAGACGCAGGCGGGCGAGGCCGTGGCGGGCAGCGGGGAACCCTGGCCGGCTTCCAGGAGAGAGCTTTCTGACTCACGGAGCCTCAGGGCCGCTGGCAGGGTGCTTTGCAGGAGGTGAGCACGCCTTCAACGCCTGCAGCAAGAGCTGCCCATCACCACACTCAAGAGAGAGGGCCAGGGAGTGATGGGGACTGGGAGCGGGGCAGGAGGTGACAAGGGCCCAACCCTGCTTCAGGAGCCTCAGTTTAGGGCTAAGAGAATGTCACAGGGATGGGCCTGAGACAGGGCTCTGTGAGGGGCTGCAGGCAGCAGCAGAAGGGTCACCCCACACCCCACACTCACCTGCACCCGCACACACCCAGTCACACGCACACCCCAATTATACACGTCCCTCAAATTCTCTCTCATGTATACTCAGACTCCCATTTACACCCACACACTCATGCACCCTCACACATGTGTGCCCCCACACCAGCTGCACACCCCTCCACACTCACACTCAGACACCCTACACTCATGCTCATACACACATCCCCACACTCAAGTCCAAATACACCCCTCACGCTCAGTCTCTCTGTCTCTCTCACACACCCTAGTTCCAGCCCCCTCACACTTTCACTCTCACACCCACCCACACAGGCTCAGATCTCACATAGACCTCACACTCTCTCACACTCATGCCCCATACTCACGTTCACACCCTCATTCGTGCCTCCACTGCCACCACGCTCCTCATAGTCACACACACACACACACACACACACACATCCCTCTTACACCCCTGTGCTCAGGCTCTCACAAACCTCCACACTCATACCCTATACTCTATCACACACACACACACTGCCCACTCACACACACTCGCATGTGAATTGCTGTCCCCTATGGGCCTGTTTTTTTGGTCACCTTAGATTTGGCCATCTGCCTCTCAAGGAACCTAAAACTGTCCTTCCTTCACCTTTACAGGTGCTGACCAGCCAGTCAGGTAGGGTCCTCAGGCCCCAGGCCACCTCAACCCTGGTCAAGGGCACACACCATCTTGTGTTCGAGAGGAGGAACTGCAGGCTCTGGAGGAGGGGTGGGGGAACTGACTATTGTGCTAAAGGAAGAGCACCCTCCCGTCAGACACGGATGTCTGCCTACTAAATGATAACTCTTCACCATCACACAGCTGTCCACACCCGGATTTTAACTCCCATGACCCTCTGTGCCCTGGGACCCAGGGGAAGCAGGTGGAGACAGGGCACCCTTTCCCAGCCAGGAGAAGACGAGAGGATGGCTGGATCTCCTCTTTGCACCGGAGGTTCCTGCTACCACCTGGCTTCAACCTCCACCCGGCCCTGCCCGGCGGGTCCACGAAACTTGAGTTCCTCTGACCACCTAGCACGATGGTGTCCTTTGGAGTCAGATTTTCTGCACCCTCCTGCTGCCCACAGCCTCTCTGACCTCTGCTGCATCTGGGCTCTGCTCTGTGCTAAGGTCCTCGCGCCAGTCCACCTCAGCTATCTCAGCCCCCTGCATTTCTCCCTCCATATCAAGCTCAAGTGAATGGCGCATGGTCTTCAGAGAGAAAGAATGAAGAGACCGAGTCCTTTAGGGTGGTGACTTGACTGGGGTTGGGGCGCACGCAGAACCATGTACCACACCTTGCCATCTGCTGGGGAGCACCGAGGGAGAGCCCGAGTGGGAGCAGTTGGGGAGGATGGTGACAGGTAGTAGGGAGGGCTCCCAGCAGGGACCCCAGGAGCAGCGGCAGGGTTGATAAGTCCTGGGGTGTGGTGGGCGAGAGGAGTTGAGGCTGGACAGGCAGGGCAGGGGGATCACCATCCAATGCCACCTTAAGGAGTTGAGATTTGCTCAAAGTTGTCTCTCATGTAGATATAAAGTCTCAAGGACAGTTCTGGATGCGTGGGTGTGGTTTGGAGGAGGGAAGTGAGTGTGGACTCCTGTGCCAGGACAGACCCAAGGGTCTTCGAGTGTGGACACCAGAAGACGTTGGTGGCCATCTGGCTGGGGTGGGGGTCAGAATGAGGGAGAAACAAAGATCCAAAGTTTGCAGCTTGGCTCCCTCGGGTGGCACCGTTCAAGCGTGAGGGGGATGCGATGGGGAATTCTGATTTTCAACTGCTGTGTCTCACACTCAGTGAGAGAGACGTGAAGGAACGTCGAGCACACGGGGATCTGTGGGACGCAGGAGAGTTTGTGCAGACCTGCTTGGAGAAGGTGAGCACACAAGAGAAAGAAAAACTAGACCGGTACTGTGTCACGGGCAGAGGCCTGGGTTGCACCAAGGATAAGGGTGAGCAGAAAATATGGTACCAGGAAACCTGCCCCAAACAGAGGAAGGTCAGAGAAGCCAGGAGCCAGGAGAGAACTGTGGTTTGGAAGCCCAGAGGAGAGGTCTTTCAGAAGGGCGGCCAGTGGGGCTGAAGGTGACGGAGAGCCTGAGGAGGGCCGCTAAGGGCTGAGCACCCCAGGACCTGGAAGACACGGTTCTGGCAAAAAATGGGATCCTGCGACTCTTCTCCTCCATGAAGGCCGGGGCCACGTCTTGTCTTTGTGTTTCCTGAAGAGCACAGCCCAGGGACAGGCATGGGGCAGCTGTGTATCAATGTGGGCTGGTCTCTCCTGCCTGAGGACCTGGCCCTGCTGCCCATACAGAAGCCCCACCCCATCCACTGTCACCTCCTGGCTCCTTCTAACCACAGACACAGGCTCCGCTCTCTCCCATCACAAGCCCCCCTTGGATCCCAAGCCACTCCAGCTCTAGCTCCTCTGCGTCCCTGCACGGACCCAGGTTGGAAAGGGCCCTCCGTACTGCTGTCCATCCTTCTCACCACTCCACGCTCCCTGGGTCACTGCAGTCCTGCTCTGCTGACCACCAGTCCTTGCCAAGCTCACAGGGTTACCTTACCCTGTCTGCCCTCTTCCCTGCCTTCTGGAGGCAACTGCGTGGCTGGAGTGACGTTCCCTCTAGACTGCGCCTCCTGTGCAGCCCTCTTCTTTCCCCCCCAGGCTCCAGCCTGTGTGCCTCTCACCTCGCCCCTTCCCCAGGTGGCTTCCCACCTGAGCACGCACGGCTCCCCCTCCTCTCTCCAGCTCCAACCAGGACTACAAGGCTGAACACCCAGCTGCCCCTCAACATCCACCTGGGGGACCTTGGGCAGGTAAGGTCTACCTCTGTGGGAGGTAGTCAGTGGGAGGAAGTTAGGACACTGGGGTGCGCCCTTGAAGGGGAAATTGGGACCCTGGTCCCTTCCTCTCTCTCTGCTTCATGGCCACCATGAGATGAACAGCTTCCTCCACCATATGCTCCCCACCATGAAGTGCTTCCTCACCAAAGGCCCACAGGTGATGGTTCAAGTGGCCACAAACTGCAACCTCTGAAACCATGAGCTAAGGCAAACCTTTCCTCCTTTAAATCAATTAGCTCAAGTATTTTGTCACAGTAACAGAAAGTTGACAAACAGGAACAAAGCCCTAAAAGGTTCAAGTGACATGGCCAAGATCACCCCGACACAATCTTCCTACTTAGTCCCCATCCCCATGTAGACTTGCTGCACTACTGCTCTCAGATGGTACCCACCAAGGCTTTCTTGGCACCTTCCCTCTCTGGTTTCCCAGGGACCTGTGACACTGAAGATAAGCAAGAATGGTATCCGTCTCTACCCAGCCCTTCCTGAAAGTCCAGCCCTGGGCTAGAATCCCCAGGTGTCCACGGCTGCAGCAAATGCCCTGAGAGGGCTAGGGCTGGAAAGCAGGCCTGTGCGGGGGCCTTCCTGGGGCAAAGGCCTTCCTCCTGGGTCTGCTCGCTGCCACCTCCTCCACCCCAGGCTGCTCCTTGGAGACCTGGGCCATAGGCTGCCCTGATCCCATTTGGGGAGGGGACTAATTCCCTGCCTGCTCTGAGGCTGCAAGACAGCCCACCACAGCCAGGTCTGGAACCGTGGACTGCAGGCCCACTGCCTGCCTGTCTTCTGCTGTCCTGATAAGCCAGGGGCTTTGGTCAGGCGGTATGGATGTGCTCTTAAAGGAAAAGAGCTT